CCGTTCTACCTCGTTCTATCAAAATCTCTTGAAAATAAAATTTTGAAGACAAAGACGAATGCAAGCAAATAGCATTACTTACCAAAGAGTTCGCCTCCACTACAATACTCAGTAACTATATAGATTGACGATTCAGTGCGCATTATCTGCAAGATTATTCCTGCTTGTGACAGCCAAACCCACAATCTTGCGAAAACTGACCTCATATAACTTAACAATATGGGGATGATTAATGCGTGTCAGTATCCGCATTTCTCGTTCAAGCCGTATCAAATTCTCCTCATCAAGCGCAGTTCTATTCACTATTTTCAAGGCAACCTAGAGAAGAACACACTTGATATAGAAAATGAGGCAAACCAAAAAGATAGGTGTGTTGGCAAACAACCTTGGACTTCGCTATCTCGTGCCTCGCTAACCTCACCGTGGCAAAGTTACCGCGACCGATCGCCCTTCCTACTTGGTAGAATCCAACCTACAAGACCGAACTGTCAATTCCATTCAACTGCACACAGATAATACATCTCAGAAGCAGCTGTCTCACTCACAACACCCGTTTTTGCAATGAAAATGAAACCAAAAGTGCAGAACAAGTTCAATGCAGGATTAATGAGGACGCTTTAGCATAGCAAGTAAACAAACAACGCTTGCAAACCTATCCAATCCACCTCATCGACAAAATGCACGCAACGTAAGAAAAAATACTTGATAAACTGTTACAATAATCGAATGTAAGTTTTAAACACCTGCACCACAACCGTACGAATGGACAGCATTCAGAAGCATACCTTCTCTAGCCGCCGACCCTGATTTCCATCCATATCGATGGTACAGAAGACCTATGAGGTCCTCCTCTTTATGAAGAGGGTCCCTCTCGGTGCTGCTCGTGCGTCAATCGTGCATAGAGCGCACGATCCCCGACCACGCCCACTCGCACGCCTGCCCCTCGCGCACAGTCGCATGATGTCATTCGCTGTGGAGCGCGCTACTCCATGCTGCTCATAGCTACGTGAGGTCGTTTTGTGATTCTACTCGTAATTTGAACATCTTTATTCATAATTTGCAAACGAGGAAATGTTGAGACAAAGATTGAGATACGCTTAGCGCATGGATGCCGCTTAGTGCTTACAGTACAACAACTTTATAACAATCCCTAGCAAAGAACAATGTGCAACAAGCAGATAATAACACTACAACAGACTATGTTGGAATACATTTGGACAATAAAGCTATGTGCATGATTGTTATTCCGTAGTACGCTTTGAAGCGAAGAAGATCTGCTATTCGCCTTTGAAAAGAACCCATACTCGTGGACTTTCGATGTATCCTAAAAAATTACAATTTGACTTAGCAAAAAAAAA